CTGCAGCGGCTGCTGCTGCTGCTGCTGCCCCTGCTGCGGCGGCTGCTGCTGCTGTTGCTGCTGCTGGGGTGGAGGTGAGGTAGGGAGATGGGGAGGGTTAGTGGAGGTGCCAGCACGAGTGGTGACATGGCAGAAGGATGGCCAAGGGGTGCGGAGAGTGTAGAGGCAAGTGCGGGGGCAGAGGGGAATGCGTAGAAGGAAGCGACCGGAGGCGGTGTGATTGAGGTCACAGTAGGTGGCATTACCTGGATAGACGGCAGTGATACCTGCATTCTGGATTTCCCGATGGGAGAGGAGGTTATTTCGGAGGGTGGGGATGTGGAGACCAGTTACCTTGCCGGAGGGGAAGATTGTGCAGGGGAGAGTGGAGAGGTGTGTGCATGGGATGGTGAAACTGCTGTCAGCACCGTGAACCTGAGTGGGAGGAGAGAGGGGTGTGAGTATACCAGCATCCTTGAGAGCAATCTCAGTGGCCCTACTATCAAGGACTAAGTCCAGAGTGGGTGGGGAGGAGGAGGAAGAAACCGAGTACTGGAAAGTGGTTTCATTAATGTTGGATGGGTACATAGAAGGAAGAGAGGGGGAGATAGCAATGTTGCCAAGGAAACTTTCCTGGGTGAAGGGAGTGACAACGCCACTGGGAGGAGGTGGGGCACCCCACAGGGGAGCAGGGGAGTGTCAGAATCCCAACCATTAGACCATTGGGATAAAAGGGCTTGTTAAGTAGCGGGTCAGTGCGCCCATAACCCCCCAGGCCAACGTGCCTGTAACCCTTCCCTAGGATCAATCGGGGATCACCAGTGGACCTCTGACACCCCCCCGCACTGAGATGCCCGAAGTGCACACACCAGGATTCGAACCCGAGACTTTCGCTCTGATACCATGTCAGAATCCAGAAGTGATAAACTAGAAACATTTGGGAGTACAAGTATGAAACCCTAGAGAAATGTACCCCCTAAAGGCTAACCCACTGTAGCCTACAGAACAGTAACATATACAATGTTTGACAGGGAGGTCTGAGCAGCTGTGGCTGCTGTGCCAAAGTTCAGCTGCTGCTGCTGCTGCTAGGGGGTAGTGCTGGGTCCCCACTGGGGTGGGAGCCCAGGTCCCCATGGGGGCTGCTGCTGCTGCTGCAGTGGCTGCTGCTGCAGTGGCTGCTGCTTGAACAGGTGCTGCTGCTGCTGCTGCTGAAGTTTGAGAACGGCGTGGGGGGAGCAAGGAGGCGGAGGTGGGCAGGGAGATAAGCATGGTTGGTTTGGATGTTAGTAGGGGAGGGACGTGGGGAGATGGTACCCCAGCGGGGAGGTGTGCCTACGTTGCCCCGCGCGTACCAGGCATCATCGAGAGCCTTGAAGCACGTGCTAGGAGGATGGTTGGTTTGACCGCAGGGTGTTCCTGCCCGAGGACCGTAGCGACGGACATAGGTGCAGGGAGGGAGAGTGCCACGGCGGGTCCCACGGTTCCCAGAGGGACCGCCCTGACTGGGGGTGCCGTGCTCATCCCTGGTGGAGCCACCACGGCTGCTTGCGCTGCTGCTTCCTTGACCGCTGCTTCCCTTGCCCCCACCTCCCCCTTTGCCGATGCCTTTGCCCTGCTTGCGGGGCTGGGTAGCGTTGAAAGAGGAGGAGGAAGGTTGGGAGGAGGCGAGGTTGACTATAGGGGTGCGAAGTTTGACTTCGGTATCGATGATCCACTGTTCAACAGAAGCGAGATCGGCCATGGGATTGGCCTCGGTAAAGGCGTGAAGGCGGGATTCATAGTCTGGGGTGAGGTTGAAGAGGAGGCAATGGATTTGGAGGGGTTCGGAGAGGCCGGCTTGGCGGGCTTCGAGGCGATCGGCTACCTCTCACATGCGGCCGACATAGTCTACAGCTCCGTCACAGGTGGCGAGGGTAACGGAAAAATATTATTGGAAGAGGATTCCAACCGAGTTGATGTCACGGTGTTCGAACATAGCATGTAGTTCAGCCCAAATCACTGAGGCACGGAGTTCCCGAGCCTGGAAGCGGCGCATGAGGGAGTCAGGGAGAGCACCAAGAATGACGGTGCAAGCTCGGTTGTCAGCGGCTGACCAGGCGATGAACTTTGGAGTGAAGGAAGCCACATCTTCGTTGTATTTGGCGACACGACGAGGTGAGCATTGCGGCCAGCAACCGCCTGGGCGTAGGCATCAGCTGCTGCATCGTATTCAGCTTTGCGGATGAGGTAGGCACGGCGACGCATAATGAAATCTGCATCTGCGGTAGCTTGGTCGGCGGTGGCCTGGAGCTCGAGCTCAAGGGGAGGATCGCCAGGAGAGGGAGGGAGAGGAGGGGTCTCGCCGGGGTGGTCAGGTTCGGTGGGGGGGAGGGCATGGGGGCGGCGGAGGATTACGTCAAGGACGTGGTAGGGGGGGACCCATGCGTCGTTGAGGATTCGGCGGATGCTACCGACAAACACATGCCAGTTAATGGCAGATTTGTCAGCTGCAAGCTGCAGTTTGTCAATGGAGGAAGTATCGATAGGAGGAGGGAGGGGGGAGGGAGAGGGCATGGGGTTAGCCATGAGGGACGGCTGCAGGTGGACCCGCAGTGGTCACGGAAGCGCGCAGGCGGCGGCAGCTGGCGGGGCTGCTGTGGCGTAGGAGCGGAAGAGGTGGGGAGGTGGAGGAATGGCGCAGGCGGCGGCGGTCAGTAGGACCGTGACAGCACATGCGCGGATGTGGAGACGAGGCCGCGGAGGGAGGGGGGGGGGGGGGGGGAGGAGGGATGGCGCGGGCGACGGCGGCTGGCGAGGCCGCGGCGACGGTCGGCGCGGAGGCGGTTACGAGGCCGCTGAGCGGCGCGAGGTGGCGACGGCTGGCGAGGCCACGACGGACGCAGGCGCGGAGGCGGCGACGAGGCCACGGAGGGGAGCGGCGCGGGCGGTGGCGGCTGGCAAGGCCGCGGCGACGCGGGCGCGGAGGCGGCGACGAGGCCACGAAGGGGAGCGGCGCGGGCGGCGGCGACTGGCGAGGCCGTGGCGACGCGGGCGCGGAGGCGACGACGAGGTCGCGGAGGGGGGGGGGGGGGGGGGGGGGAGAGGAGGCGCGGGCGACGGTGGCTGGTGAGGCCGCGGCGACGACAGGCGCGGAGGCGGCGACGAGGCCGCGGAGCGGCGCGAGGTGGCGGCGGCTCGCGAGGCCGCGGCGAACGCAGGCGCGGAGGCGGCGAGGAGGCCGCGGAGGGGAGCGGCGCGGGCAGCGGCGGCTGGCGAGGCCGTAGCGACGCGGGCGCGGAGGCGGCGACGGGGCCGCGGAAGGGAATGGCGCGGGCGGCGGCGGCTGGCGAGGCTGCGGCGACGGCAGGCGGGGAGGCGGCAGCTAGGCCGCTGAAGGAAAAAAGCGCTAAGGAGGGGGGGAAGGCGTCGGAGTAGCCGGGAAAAAAAAATATGAAGGGAGGAGGCCGGGGGTTGCGGCGGCCGAGTGGGCCTTTGAAACGAGAGGAGTAGGCTTAGGATAGTGAGCTCTATACCATGTGGGAAACAAGAGTTAGAATAGAAGTTAATGCTTTGATTGAGAATCATGGGGGTATACATAGTAGGGGGTTGGATACTAGCCTAGGTTAGCATTATTGGCCATGAGCAGGGGGCGAACTTGAACATGTTCGTGTTCGCCCCCTGACGAACATGGCCATCTGCCGAACCGAACACTGTTCGGTTCGGCGAACGACTTGAGTGAAAATAGGTGTTCGTCGTTCGCCCTAGGAGGCGAACGAATGGCTGCAACAGGTGAACACGAACATGTTCGTGGCGAACATGTTCGTGTTCGCCCAGGGGGAAATTCAGTATAGAGTAAAATTCAAATCGTTGCACATTCCCTCCCCCCACCTCCCAAGCCAGTCCCGCCTTGCTTCATCCATCTAGTGCCAGCGTGCAACGGCGAAATGCTAGATCCGCACTTAAGCAACGGCGAAATGCTAGATCTGCACTTAAGCAACGGCGAAATGCTCGATCCGCATTAAGCAACGGCGAAATGCTAGATCCGCACTTGAGCAACGGTGAAATGCTCGATCCGCACTTAAGAAACGGCGAAATGCTCGATCCGCACTTAAACAACGGCGAAATGCTCGATCCGCACTTAAGCAACGGCGAAATGCTAGATCTGCACTTTACTAACTGCGAAAGGCCAGATCTGAGCCCAAACACCAAGGCCCGCGACCTAAAAATTGGTCGCGGGCCTATTCGTCGACGAACACATTGGTGTTCGTCGAAGGCCTGTGTCGAACACGAACACGTTCGTGTTCGACGCGCCTCGGTGAGCTGAGCCGGGCGAACGGCGAACATGTTAGGGCGTACACCGAACACGTTCGCCCTGAACAATTTAGGCCAAAAAAAAATCATGTTCGCTTCGCCTCGAACACGTTCGAGGCGAACCGAACAGGAGTTCGTCATATTGCTCATCCCTAGGGCCAACATTATTGGAGGGAGCCAATAATTCTACCCACCCCAACCTTTTGGGGTCCAATAATTGGACCAAGGTTGGGTTCCAGCCTACAAACTGGGTTACCCCTGTTTGTACACCCAAACTAAGTTTGGGTGCTTATCTCTAGCCTATCCTATAGCATGTATGCAGGTTACAAGAGGAGAGATATTCTAACAAGGTGCACATCATGTGGATTTCGGGCCGAGAGTAAATTTACTGGACAAGATTAAAGATAATAACGAGTGTAGCTCGTGCACGGGCAAAGGAAGGCGTGGTCTGTCTGTGAAACTCAAACGCCTGTTTGAAAGGAAAGTGGACTGAATCTCAGCTTTAGAGTATCGCGGTTGCAAGTACTTTCGTTCAATGAGTACCAGTGCAGTCTCCAGACGCAGACGCCAAGGAGCGGTGCGCCCCATTCAATGACCGCTCAGCCCTGTACTTGAGATGAGAGTTGTCTTTTGAGTCGACTCAAAAGTCAACCATTCAGTGACCGCTCAGCCCTGTACTTGAGAAATGAGAGTTGGGCTTTAAGCTCTCTTCTCGGCAAAGGGAACCTTACCTGCGTTCAATGAGCACGAGTGTAGCTCTAGACGCAGAAGCCAAGGAATGGGGCGTATTCGGTGGGAGATACACATAGGAGTCGTCCTGAGTGCAGAAGGTGCAAGGCAAATTGGTACAGATAGGGGAGGAGGGGAGTGGGATTGGAGTTGATTGGAAGCAGACTGAAAAAAAGAGTGGGAGGTGGCAGATACACATAGGAGTCGTCCTGAGTGCAGGACGTGCAAGGCAATTTGGTGCAGATGGGGGAGGAGAAGGGGATGATTTGTTTGGAAGCAGAGTTGCAAACACATCGGGGGGTATTCAGTGGCAAACCCACATGGGAGTCGCTCTAAATGAAGTAGGTGCAAGACGAGTTGGTACGAATGTGTGTGTCTTGGGGTGAGGGGGGTGAGGGGGGAGGTAGGGGTTGCATGCGGTAAAAAGCTTCTGGGTGATGTTTCTTTCCTCTCTTTTCTTTTTGGTGAAACCCTTAAGCCCATGTGCGTACCGTAAGATCCTCCTGCAGAACAACGGATCTTGCACAGGTGCTCCCAGCATCACCAACTGTCGAGCACTGATTGGCCACACCCCCTTCATTGGTCTCTCCTGGGGTCCCGTACTGAGTGAAGCTGACTTGCCCTGATACCACAAACACAAACCTGCAGCAACATAGCAATGAAAGAAGGCAGGCAGGAATTTAAGAAGGGAGGCAGGCTGCCAATCTCAAGGGTATCTCTCTTGAGACGTGCAATTTGTTACAATGTCGCTCTCATCAGAGTAGTCGCACACGCTAATATTTTTTTCTTATCTGTCAGAGTCTGCTTCATGCGTCCGATTTGCGTGATTGCTCACCTTGTTTCACCTCCTTGTCTCTCTTCCCACGCCTCACCTGCATGCCCATAACCCCCATGCCTCTCATCCCCATCCATCTCAGCCCCATGCCTCTCACCCCCATGCTTCTCACTTCCATCAATAATCACCTACATGCCTGCCTGCTTCGCTCACCTCTCCACTCCAGCCACTGGAGGGGCGGAAGAGGCATTGCCTGAAACAGCGAGCCGAGAGAGAATAACAAGCGAGGGATTTTTAGAAGGGAGGGAGAAATCTGTCAGGGTACAGTGCGGTAGAGATTGAAATCGCATGTGCTAAATCAAACCCAGAGTCAATAGCAGGAATATCAGATGTGGAACGCACAGAAAGAAGAGGGGAAAAGGGTGAAGGAACTTGATTCGGCGTAGGGCGGCTCGGCAGGAGCGACCACATGGTGTGCGGCTAAGAGGAGCGACCACATGGTGTGCGGCTAAGAGGAGCGACCACATGGTGTGCGGCTAAGAGGAGCGACCACATGGTGTGCGGCTAAGAGGAGCGACCACATGGTGTGCGGCTAAGAGGAGCGAATTGGTACCTTAGAGCCGAAGCTGATAGAGGAATTGGTACCTTAGAGCCGAAGCTGATAGAGGAATTGGTACCTTAGAGCCGAAGCTGATAGAGGAATTGGTACCTTAGAGCCGAAGCTGATAGAGGAATTGGTACCTTAGAGCCGAAGCTGATAGAGGAATTGGTACCTTAGAGCCGAAGCTGATAGAGGAATTGGTACCTTAGAGCCGAAGCTGATAGAGGAATTGGTACCTTAGAGCCGAAGCTGATAGAGGAATTGGTACCTTAGAGCCGAAGCTGATAGAGGAATTGGTACCTTAGAGCCGAAGCTGATAGAGGAATTGGTACCTTAGAGCCGAAGCTGATAGAGGAATTGGTACCTTAGAGCCGAAGCTGATAGAGGAATTGGTACCTTAGAGCCGAAGCTGATAGAGGAATTGGTACCTTAGAGCCGAAGCTGATAGAGGAATTGGTACCTTAGAGCCGAAGCTGATAGAGGAATTGGTACCTTAGAGCCGAAGCTGATAGAGGAATTGGTACCTTAGAGCCGAAGCTGATAGAGGAATTGGTACCTTAGAGCCGAAGCTGATAGAGGAATTGGTACCTTAGAGCCGAAGCTGATAGAGGAATTGGTACCTTAGAGCCGAAGCTGATAGAGGAATTGGTACCTTAGAGCCGAAGCTGATAGAGGAATTGGTACCTTAGAGCCGAAGCTGATAGAGGAATTGGTACCTTAGAGCCGAAGCTGATAGAGGAATTGGTACCTTAGAGCCGAAGCTGATAGAGGAATTGGTACCTTAGAGCCGAAGCTGATAGAGGAATTGGTACCTTAGAGCCGAAGCTGATAGAGGAATTGGTACCTTAGAGCCGAAGCTGATAGAGGAATTGGTACCTTAGAGCCGAAGCTGATAGAGGAATTGGTACCTTAGAGCCGAAGCTGATAGAGGAATTGGTACCTTAGAGCCGAAGCTGATAGAGGAATTGGTACCTTAGAGCCGAAGCTGATAGAGGAATTGGTACCTTAGAGCCGAAGCTGATAGAGGAATTGGTACCTTAGAGCCGAAGCTGATAGAGGAATTGGTACCTTAGAGCCGAAGCTGATAGAGGAATTGGTACCTTAGAGCCGAAGCTGATAGAGGAATTGGTACCTTAGAGCCGAAGCTGATAGAGGAATTGGTACCTTAGAGCCGAAGCTGATAGAGGAATTGGTACCTTAGAGCCGAAGCTGATAGAGGAATTGGTACCTTAGAGCCGAAGCTGATAGAGGAATTGGTACCTTAGAGCCGAAGCTGATAGAGGAATTGGTACCTTAGAGCCGAAGCTGATAGAGGAATTGGTACCTTAGAGCCGAAGCTGATAGAGGAATTGGTACCTTAGAGCCGAAGCTGATAGAGGAATTGGTACCTTAGAGCCGAAGCTGATAGAGGAATTGGTACCTTAGAGCCGAAGCTGATAGAGGAATTGGTACCTTAGAGCCGAAGCTGATAGAGGAATTGGTACCTTAGAGCCGAAGCTGATAGAGGAATTGGTACCTTAGAGCCGAAGCTGATAGAGGAATTGGTACCTTAGAGCCGAAGCTGATAGAGGAATTGGTACCTTAGAGCCGAAGCTGATAGAGGAATTGGTACCTTAGAGCCGAAGCTGATAGAGGAATTGGTACCTTAGAGCCGAAGCTGATAGAGGAATTGGTACCTTAGAGCCGAAGCTGATAGAGGAATTGGTACCTTAGAGCCGAAGCTGATAGAGGAATTGGTACCTTAGAGCCGAAGCTGATAGAGGAATTGGTACCTTAGAGCCGAAGCTGATAGAGGAATTGGTACCTTAGAGCCGAAGCTGATAGAGGAATTGGTACCTTAGAGCCGAAGCTGATAGAGGAATTGGTACCTTAGAGCCGAAGCTGATAGAGGAATTGGTACCTTAGAGCCGAAGCTGATAGAGGAATTGGTACCTTAGAGCCGAAGCTGATAGAGGAATTGGTACCTTAGAGCCGAAGCTGATAGAGGAATTGGTACCTTAGAGCCGAAGCTGATAGAGGAATTGGTACCTTAGAGCCGAAGCTGATAGAGGAATTGGTACCTTAGAGCCGAAGCTGATAGAGGAATTGGTACCTTAGAGCCGAAGCTGATAGAGGAATTGGTACCATAGAGCCGAAGCTGATAGAGGAATTGGTACCTTAGAGCCGAAGCTGATAGAGGAATTGGTACCTTAGAGCCGAAGCTGATAGAGGAATTGGTACCTTAGAGCCGAAGCTGATAGAGGAATTGGTACCTTAGAGCCGAAGCTGATAGAGGAATTGGTACCTTAGAGCCGAAGCTGATAGAGGAATTGGTACCTTAGAGCCGAAGCTGATAGAGGAATTGGTACCTTAGAGCCGAAGCTGATAGAGGAATTGGTACCTTAGAGCCGAAGCTGATGGAGGAATTGGTACCTTAGAGCCGAAGCTGATAGAGGAATTGGTACCTTAGAGCCGAAGCTGATAGAGGAATTGGTACCTTAGAGCCGAAGCTGATAGAGGAATTGGTACCTTAGAGCCGAAGCTGATAGAGGAATTGGTACCTTAGAGCCGAAGCTGATAGAGGAATTGGTACCTTAGAGCCGAAGCTGATAGAGGAATTGGTACCTTAGAGCCGAAGCTGATAGAGGAATTGGTACCTTAGAGCCGAAGCTGATAGAGGAATTGGTACCTTAGAGCCGAAGCTGATAGAGGAATTGGTACCTTAGAGCCGAAGCTGATAGAGGAATTGGTACCTTAGAGCCGAAGCTGATAGAGGAATTGGTACCATAGAGCCGAAGCTGATAGAGGAATTGGTACCTTAGAGCCGAAGCTGATAGAGGAATTGGTACCTTAGAGCCGAAGCTGATAGAGGAATTGGTACCTTAGAGTCGAAGCTGATAGAGGAATTGGTACCTTAGAGCCGAAGCTGATAGAGGAATTGGTACCTTAGAGCCGAAGCTGATAGAGGAATTGGTACCTTAGAGCCGAAGCTGATAGAGGAATTGGTACCTTAGAGCCGAAGCTGATAGAGGAATTGGTACCTTAGAGCCGAAGCTGATAGAGGAATTGGTACCTTAGAGCCGAAGCTGATAGAGGAATTGGTACCTTAGAGCCGAAGCTGATAGAGGAATTGGTACCTTAGAGCCGAAGCTGATAGAGGAATTGGTACCTTAGAGCCGAAGCTGATAGAGGAATTGGTACCTTAGAGCCGAAGCTGATAGAGGAATTGGTACCTTAGAGCCGAAGCTGATAGAGGAATTGGTACCTTAGAGCCGAAGCTGATAGAGGAATTGGTACCTTAGAGCCGAAGCTGATAGAGGAATTGGTACCTTAGAGCCGAAGCTGATAGAGGAATTGGTACCTTAGAGCCGAAGCTGATAGAGGAATTGGTACCATAGAGCCGAAGCTGATAGAGGAATTGGTACCTTAGAGCCGAAGCTGATAGAGGAATTGGTACCTTAGAGCCGAAGCTGATAGAGGAATTGGTACCTTAGAGTCGAAGCTGATAGAGGAATTGGTACCTTAGAGCCGAAGCTGATAGAGGAATTGGTACCTTAGAGCCGAAGCTGATAGAGGAATTGGTACCTTAGAGCCGAAGCTGATAGAGGAATTGGTACCTTAGAGCCGAAGCTGATAGAGGAATTGGTACCATAGAGCCGAAGCTGATAGAGGAATTGGTACCTTAGAGCCGAAGCTGATAGAGGAATTGGTACCTTAGAGCCGAAGCTGATAGAGGAATTGGTACCTTAGAGCCGAAGCTGATAGAGGAATTGGTACCTTAGAGCCGAAGCTGATAGAGGAATTGGTACCTTAGAGCCGAAGCTGATAGAGGAATTGGTACCTTAGAGCCGAAGCTGATAGAGGAATTGGTACCTTAGAGCCGAAGCTGATAGAGGAATTGGTACCTTAGAGCCGAAGCTGATAGAGGAATTGGTACCTTAGAGCCGAAGCTGATAGAGGAATTGGTACCTTAGAGCCGAAGCTGATAGAGGAATTGGTACCTTAGAGCCGAAGCTGATAGAGGAATTGGTACCTTAGAGCCGAAGCTGATAGAGGAATTGGTACCTTAGAGCCGAAGCTGATAGAGGAATTGGTACCTTAGAGCCGAAGCTGATAGAGGAATTGGTACCTTAGAGCCGAAGCTGATAGAGGAATTGGTACCTTAGAGCCGAAGCTGATAGAGGAATTGGTACCTTAGAGCCGAAGCTGATAGAGGAATTGGTACCTTAGAGCCGAAGCTGATAGAGGAATTGGTACCTTAGAGCCGAAGCTGATAGAGGAATTGGTACCTTAGAGCCGAAGCTGATAGAGGAATTGGTACCTTAGAGCCGAAGCTGATAGAGGAATTGGTACCTTAGAGCCGAAGCTGATAGAGGAATTGGTACCTTAGAGCCGAAGCTGATAGAGGAATTGGTACCTTAGAGCCGAAGCTGATAGAGGAATTGGTACCTTAGAGCCGAAGCTGATAGAGGAATTGGTACCTTAGAGCCGAAGCTGATAGAGGAATTGGTACCTTAGAGCCGAAGCTGATAGAGGAATTGGTACCTTAGAGCCGAAGCTGATAGAGGAATTGGTACCTTAGAGCCGAAGCTGATAGAGGAATTGGTACCTTAGAGCCGAAGCTGATAGAGGAATTGGTACCTTAGAGCCGAAGCTGATAGAGGAATTGGTAC